ATCACTATAATTATATATACATTGTATTACTACATTTATTTGTGTTAACATGAAATGCCAACATGAAATGTGTGAAATAAACGACTTGACTTGACTTAACCATTTCTATTTTAAAAAGGGAATGTCCACTCATTCCCAATTCACGTACCAATTATGGCCAAATTACACTACAAAAAGGATGCCCTTTTTACCATTTTTGAGAAAGAAAAGAACAAAGACAAGCAAAAAATCAACATAAATGTATTTGTATCTTTTAATTAACAGTGATTTAATTGACATAACTCAGTGTTAAGCCAGCTTAACAAAATCAAACAAGCTCTAACCTTGACAACAGTAATTTAATTATGAAGAATTGTTAAGCTGGCTTAACAAATAATAAAACAAAGCTACATACTAATAAATTTGTGAAAAAAACACAACAATAACTCAACTGATGTTAACTGAAGAAAAATGTTACGCCGGCTTAACAATATCTTATACGATATAAATAACAAAATTTATCATTTCATAAGATAAAAATTAACCAGATAAAATGTTATGCCGGCTTAACATTATCAAAAATCACTTTCACAACATAAAGAAAATGTTACGCCGGCTTAACAATTTCTCAAATCAAATAAATATTTCAAAGAAAATTTCAAACTGTGAGACAAATTGTTATGCCGGCTTAACAAAATGGAAAATATTTTTAATTGTAAGATAAATAATTCCATTAGACGAAGAAAAATGTTACGCCGGCTTAACAAATAATGAAATCCAAGTGGAATTACAACACAAAATTTCAAACTGTAAGTTAATTTGTTACGCCGGCTTAACAAAATCAAAAAATCATTTTCATTAGATGAAGAAAAATGTTACGCCAGCTTAACAAATTCTCAAATCCAAGTGGAATTACAGCACAAAATTTCAAACTGTAAGTTAAATTGTTACGCCAGCTTAACAAAATCAAAAAATCATTTTCATTAGATGAAGAAAAATGTTACGCCGGCTTAACAAATTCTCAAATCCAAGTGGAATTACAGCACAAAATTTCAAACTGTAAGTTAAATTGTTACGCCAGCTTAACAAAATCAAAAAATCATTTTCATTAGATGAAGGAAAATGTTACGCCAGCTTAACAAATATTCAAATCCATGTGGAATTAACGCACAAAATTTCAAACTGTAAAACCAGATAAAATGTTATGCCGGCTTAACATTATCAAAAATCACTTTCACAACATAAAGAAAATGTTACGCCGGCTTAACAATTTCTCAAATCAAATAAATATTTCAAAGAAAATTTCAAACTGTGAGACAAATTGTTACGCCGGCTTAACAAAATGGAAAATAATTTTATTTGTAAGATAAATAATTTCCATTAGATGAAGAAAAATGTAACGCCGGCTTAACAAATTCTCAAATCCAAGTGAAATTACAGCACAAAATTTCAAACTGTAAGTTAAATTGTTACGCCAGCTTAACAAAATAAAAAAATTATTTTCTTTAGATGTAGAAAAATGTTACGGCAGCTTATCAAATATAATCCAAGAGGAATTACAGCACAAAATTTCAAACTGTAAGTTAAATTGTTACGCCAGCTTAACAAAATCAAAAAATCATTTTCATTAGATGAACAAAAATGTTACGCCGGCTTAACAATTTCTCAAATTAAATAAATATTTCAAAGAAAATTTCAAACTGTGAGACAAATTGTTACGCCGGCTTAACAAAATGGAAAATAATTTTATTTGTAAGATAAATAATTTCCATTAGATGAAGAAAAATGTTACGCCGGCTTAACAAATTCTCAAATCCAAGTGGAATTACAGCCTGTAAGATAAATTGTTATGCCGGCTTAACAAAATCGAAAAAACATTTTCATAAGTTGAAGAAAAATGTTAAGCTGGCTTAACAAATTATCAAATCAAAGTAATGTTTCAAAGAAAATTTTAAACTGTAAGATAAATTGTTATGCCGGCTTAATAAAATCGAAAAATCATTTTCCTTACATGAAAAAAAATGTTAAGCTGGCTTAGCAAATTATCAAATCAAAGTAATGTTTCAAAGAAAATTTTAAACTGTAAGATAAATTGTTATGGCGACTTAACAAAATCGAAAAATCATTTTCCTTACATGAAGAAAAATGTTAAGCCTGCTTAACAAATTTCAAACTATCAAGTTAGTTGTTATGCCAGCTTAACAAAATTAAAATTCATTTTCATTACATGAAGAACTAGAACTCCGCGAGTCGGATGTGACGCTTTGTGAACAATATAGTTTAGGAGAAATGGCCAGGACAAAAAATTAAATACGAAAACTAACAAAGGGCAATAACTCAAAAAATAATAAGTAAGGAGGACAAAACTATGAAAGAAAAATCAATTATGTATAATTATGTATTAAGTTATAGTAAAAAAAAATAATATTTGTTAAAATAAATTCCAAGATCAAGGGAAATGATTCTAGAAATAGTCACGCTAGAGTTATGACCCTTGTCACACAACATGTATGTAATGATAAGAAGTATATATTTGAAGTTTGAAGTAGATACCTTAAAAGTAACAAAGTTATAATATTTCTTAAAGAAAATCCTAAGTTCAAAGAGAGATAAATCTGTAAAAATTACTTCAAGAGTTATGAACATTGTCACATAAAATATAATTGGTTATAAGGAATAAGTATTTGAAGTTTGAGGTAGATACCTTTAAAACTAAAAAAGTTATAGTAAAAAATAACATTTTTCTAGTAAAAAAATCTAAGTTGATGGGGAGATAATTCTTGCAATATTGGTGCTAGAGTTATGAACCTTGTCACATAAGATGTGGATGATGATAAGGTACATTTATTTGAAGTATGAAGTTGATCCCTTTAGAAATAAATAAGTTACATTAAAAAAATAATATTTTTTTAAGAAAATTCTAAGTTCAAGGGGAGATAAATCTGAAAATATTGGTGCTAGAGTTATGAACCTTGTCACATAAGATGGGGATGATGATAAGGTACATATATTTTAAGTATGAGGTTGATCCCTTAAGAAATAAAGAAGTAACAGTAAAAATTAGTATTTTTTAAGGAAAATTCTAAGTTCAAGGGGAGATAAATCTAAAAATATTGGTGCTAGAGTTATGAACCTTGTCACATAAGATGTGGTTGATGATAAGGAACATATATTTGAAATTTGAAGTTGATACCTTAAGAAATGACAAAGTAATAGTGAAAAATATTTTACTGCACCAAAACTTTAATCTGAAATTCGGACGCGGACGCCGAGGCGAGTAGGACAGCTCTCCATATACTTCGTATAGTCGAGCTAATAAGAACTGCAGAGTACCGGTCCTTGTGCACTGCACTTCGGGTTATTAAAAGAAGCATGCATACCAAGTTTGAAGTCAATCAGACTTATAGTGACTGAGTTATGCTCCGGACAAGCTTTAGCGGACCCGACGCCGACAACGACGACGACACAGACGCGGCCGACACCGCCGACAAAAGTAACCCCTATATGTCACCTTTTCAAGGCGACACAAAAATGTTATGCCGGCTTTACAATTTCTTATATCCAACTATTTGACAAACAAAATTTCAAACCATCAGATCAATTGTTATGCCGACTTAACAAATTTGAAATTCACTTACATTACATGAAGAAAAATGTTACACCGTGAGTGGCTAAACAATTTGCTATGAAATTGCTATGATACCTTAACAAAATTAAAGTTCATTTTCATAAGATAAGAAAAATGTTAACAAATTTGAAATTCACTTACATTATGTGAAGAAAAATGTTACGCCGGCTAAACAATTTCTAAAATCTAAGAAGAATTCAACACAAAATTTCAAACTATCAGTTAAACTGTTATGCCAGCTTAACAAACTTGAAATTCATTTTGATAAGATGAAGAAAAATGTTACTCTAGCTTAACAATTTCTCAATTTACATACAATTATAGCACAAGATTTCAAATTATAAAATATGTTATGCCAGCTTAACAAAATTGAAATAAAATAATTATAGTGCCGGCTTAAATTTTTTTACATACTTCTTACATCTTAAAAGTATTATAGTTCAACATAAATCTAACAGAGAAATAATATAATGCTGGCTTAACAAAATTTAAATTAATTTTTTTTCATGTAGAAAAATGCTATGTGGGGCTTAACAACTCATATCCAAGTAATATTCAAAGAAAATTTCAAACTGAAAAATATAATGTTCAAGAAAAAAATGTATGCCGGCTTAACAATTTCTCAAGTCTTAGAATTATTACTGTTCAACAATTATCTAACAATTGAATTGTTTTGCCGACTTTACAAAATTAAAATTCAATTTCACCAGATGAAGAAATGTTATACCGGCTTAACAATTTCTCAAATCTTAGAATTATTACTGTTCAACAATTATCTAACAGTTAAATTGTTTTGCCGACTTTTCAAAATTAAAATTCAATTTCATCAGATGAAGAAATGTTATGCCGTCTTAACAATTTCTCACATCTTATAACAGTTCAACATTAATTTTACAGAAAAAAAGTTGTGCCAGCTTAGCAAAACAAAAGTGCTAAGCCGGCTTGACAGATCAATTAAAAAAATCACTTTTACCCTACAAAAAGTAAAACTAATTTTCCTCAAACTCTGATAAAAAATAACACAAACAAGTTTAAGTTAAGTTAAAGAGTTATAACAAGAGGGCCATGATGGCCCTGAAATCGCTCACCTGTATATAGGTCCCTGGGTTAGGGCCAATTTTAAGGGCTTTGATTTGAACAAACTTGGTAGACACCCATTGGAAGATGTTTCATAATAAATATCTAAGCTCTAGCTCTTTAGGGTTTTTTAAAGAAGATTTTTTAAGTTTTCACTATACACATATAGGGAGAGTATGAACCCCTCCCCCTCCAGACAGGGCCAATTTTTACCCTAGGACTTTTATTTGAACAAGCTTGGTAGACACTCATTAGAAGATATTTCATATTTAGTATCCAAACTGTAGCTCTTTGGGTTTTTTATAATATTAAGATTTATTAAGTTTTTACTATACACATACAAGGAAAATCGATGATCCGGGGCCAATTTTAACCCCAGGTCCCATATTTGAACAACCTTGGTAGACACCCATTAGAAGATGTTTCAAGACTTTTTAAGTTTTTACTGTATACATAAACAGAAACAATGACCCCCCTGGCGCGGGGCCAAATTTGACACCAGGGCTTTTATTTTAACAAACTTGGTAGTCACTAACTAGATGATGTGTCATGATTAATATCTAAGCTCCAGCTATTTGGATTTTTAAAAAAAAGATATTTAAAGTTTTTACTATAATATTATACAACTAAGGAAAATCAATGACCCCCTGGGGAAGGCCAATTTTGACCCCAGGGCTTTTTTTTTTGAACAAACTTGGTAGACACTGACTAGACAATGTTTCATGCCAAAGATTTTAGCTCTTTTATTAAAAAACAAGATTTTTTAATTTTTTTCTTTTCGTTTGCCATGGCAATCAGAGTTCTGCATTGAATTAAATTCTTCTAACAATTTTTGAAGTTGACTACAAAAGGAACAATCCTGTGAAGTTTTGGTGAAATTGGCTAAGAGGTTTATGAGGAGATGTCATTTAAAGTAAAAGTTTAAGGAAGGACCCCGGATGAAATTGAAAAGCGTTAAAAAAACTTACTATGTCACTTTGAGACAGGTGAGCTAAAAAGTATATCAAAGTCAAACAGCTACCAACTTCAATCAGAAATGCACAATTTGAATCATTTGAATTAAATTTGTTAAGCTTGATCAGAAATTTATGAAATTAAATATAATATCATTTGTCTCATATTTTATAATTAAACAAAAATGAATTGAAAGTATTTAAATGTAAATTATCAAAACAAGTTTAAGCAACATGTAGCCATGATGGAATGAAACAATTTTGCCAACGGATGCAGAAATTTAATTGATTACACTTGAGCCATACAAAATTCATAAAAATAAACCATAATAGAAACATAATACAATTTTTAAAAATATCTATCAAATCCAAATATGTCTTTAAACATCATCAGAGATTGGAGCTGTAAAATGGCTACCTCTTCTCTTGTCCATCATGACCTATAATTGAAACAAAGAAAACTAAATTAGTAAATTTAAGTGTGCCTTGTCATGATGATGAAGCAATACAAAATGTCTGTTAAAATGTTTGAATAATAATCAACATTAAAGCTTTTGCATGACAATAAGAGTATCTGTTATTCAGGATAAAAACTTCTTTACCTCACTCAGGATAAAAACTTTGATAAGAGTATTTTGAACCTCAGAGTAAAACTTCTTTAAAGAGTATTTTGTACATCAAAATAAGAGTGATTCAGAACATTAATTTTGTATCTTTACACATCTTTACAATACAGACAGGGAAATATCAATAACTATTTATTAAATATCAACGGTTTTCGGAAGTCAATGCCTGCTATTAATTTCAATGGTAGATTCACTCATTGCTATTGCTATCACTGGTTGCTATTGAAACTGAGCTTTAGTTCATGTAGATTTAGAGAAGAGTTTTTTACTATATACATATAAGGAAAATCTATGTTCCCTGGGGCGGGACCAATTTTGACCTGAGGGCCATCATTTGATTTTTTGCGTTTAGGTCCACTTGAAATGTTTCATACCAAATATCTACTTATAAGATAAAACCTCTATAATATAATGGCAGAAGATTTTTTGTTTGTTTTTACTATATAAAGGAAAATCAATGATCCCCTGAGGTGGGCCAATTTTAATCAAATGGCTGAAATTTGAACAATATTTGTAAATGTCGCAGGGTCATATTAATGTATTAATGTTAAATGTTATTTGTAAATGTATGTCCCGTATTGTACACCGTAAATTATGTAAAGTCCTATATTTGTGTCCTTTTCCTATATTCCATACATTCATCCTTTTATTCATTTACTCATTCATTCATTTCTTCATTCATTCATTTATTAACAAGTATGTACTAACCATTGGTACAGGCCTCAATCTTAAATATTCTATTTCCGCACTAAGTACCTTCAGGCATGCGCACTCCTACTAAAAATTTTCAAGCCAAACTTCGTATTCATCAATAATAAATATTTTCTAAAAGCGTATTTCTGTATTTTTATAGGTAAATATAAATGTCTGTATTAATCCCATACTTGTTATTCTACATTTTGCCATTCATAATTTTGTGTCATTTGTCATTATTTTGTCTTTGCACTCCTACTAAAAATTTTCATGGCGCAAGCCAAACTTCGTATTCATCAATAATAAATATTTTCTAAAAGCGTATTTCTGTATTTTTATAGCAACCCTCAAGCCCAAAACCTATTAGCAGCACCTTTTCCATATCGTCAAAAGTAAACTGCAACATAGACCTCTACATAGCCAATATCTAAGCTAAAACCTCTATAGTATAATCAAGAAGTTTTTTAGTGTTTCTGCTGACCCTCAAACAGATTTAGGCATTCACTTTTTTATTTATATAAATATTTTCATAATATATATATATTTAGTCATCATAAATTTATTGATACAAATTTAAAATCTTATTAGTTTTCCTGGTTGGTATGAATGCAAAACTTTATTTCATCTTTTTAAAGGGAGATAATTAAGCCAGAATAAAATGCACTGTGATGCATATAATATAACCCTGTGTAAAAGTGACCCCAGATGGCCATTTGTATACAAGGTTCATCAATTACATAACTTTAGTAGAGGATCCACAAGGCAATTCTACATGCCAAACTATCTAAACTCTGGACATTTGTGTATAAATTTGTGTATTTTCCTATTTAAATCTATCCTTGAGCACAAAAGTGCTCAGGTAAGCTAACAAGAGCTGTCGGTAGGACAGCACGCTCGACTAAGTTCTAAGTGCTTGATAGTAAAAGAGCCTTGATAATGTTAATTTTTTTAAGATCACAAAAGGTCTATTTTTTTTTTAATAAATTCATGTTATAGGCCTTAGAGAGAGTCTAATTATACAGTATTGGCTTGATTATTCGGAAGGTAATGTCACAAGGTTGTTTTATTGAGTATAATAATACTAATTACCTATGAATACATAAATTTGACAGAAAAGGTACAAAGGCTTCTAATTAAGATGTTTTATCAAGTAAATCACTGCTTTATTATTATGAATGCATAAAATTGTCCCAAAAAAGGGCACAAACCCTTCAGTAGTAATTGAGATAATAGCTTACAAGCAAAACTTTACCATGAATTTCTAAGTTGAAAAAGGGGAGAAAAATCAGCCTAAATGCAAGATAGAATTATGGATCTTTGTCAGTGACCTACAATTATGACCCTAAATGCATATGTGAAGTTTTAAATAAATATCTTTAATAGTTATTGAGATATGTAAAACTTGCATGTAAACATTAACCAAGAGACTAAGTAGAAAAGGGGATATGAATCAGCCTTAATGCAAGATAGAGTTATGGAACTTGGTCAGTGACATACAATTATGACCCTCCAATTATGACCCTAAGTGCATGTGTAAAGTTTCAAGTAATATCTTTGAAGACCTTTAACTTTAACCAAAATTTCTAAGTTTCAAAGGGGCAAATAATTCTTCAAATTTTGCAGCCAGAGTTATGCAATTTTGCAAACTGATGTACATTGTTACTATAAAAACGTATTTTAAATTTCAATTGAATATCTCAAGCAATAATTGAGATATTTGACTTTACAAAAAAACTTTAACCAAAATTTCTAAGTTCAAAAGGGGCATAATTTTGTCAATATTGTAGGCAGAGTTATCCAACTTGTCAATCTGATGTACCTTGTTACTATAAATAAGTATTGTAAGTTTCAATTGAATATCTCAAGCAATTATTGAGATATTTGACTTTACAAAAAACTTTAACAAAAATTTCTAAGTTAAAAAGGGGCATAATTTTGTCAATATTGTAGGCAGAGTTATCTAACTTGTCAATCTGATGTACCTTGTTACTATAAATAAGTATTGTAAGTTTCAATTGAATATCTCAAGTAATTATTGAGATTTTTGACTTTACAAAAAACTTTAACCAAAATTTCTAAGTTAAAAAGGGGCATAATTCTGTCAATATTGTAGGCAGAGTTATCCCACTTGTCAATCTGATGTACCTTGTTACTATAAATAAGTATTGTAAGTTTCAATTGAATATCTCAAGTAATGATTGAGATATTTGACTTTACAAAAAACTTTAACCAACGCAGACGCCGACGCGGACGCTGACGCCGACGCCGACGCCGGGGCGACTACAATAGCTCTCATATTCTTCGAATAGTCGAGCTAAAAATGTATGGCCAAAGTACTTACACTGATCCATTCCATCAATAATCAATGTCATTATATGCATCTGGATTCTTTCTACTTCATCACTTTCCCTCAGTACCTCATTTGAACCTAATAGGAAATCAATATTTCATTATTAAATAAAACATCAAATAAAAGTTATATTGTTTTCTTACTTAAGGAAAATAAACTTATACAGTTTCAGTTATTACACACGTATGAATAAAACTTAAATAAAAAGTAAATCATTAGTAAAATGAAATTTAAACAGAATAGTATTTGTTTGTAACTGTTGACTTCAATTTAGTTGAAACTATTCTTTTTAATCAAATTGTCAAGATTTTTATTTCAACAACTTGGTACAATTACTCACTAGAAGATATTTCATGCTTAGTATCTAAACTCTAGCTCTTTGGGTTTTTAAAAGATTTTTTCAGTTTTTACTATACACAAAAGATAATAAATGGCCCCCGGGGCTGGGCCAATTTTAACCCCGGGGCTCTTATTTGTACATACTTGGTAAGACACCTATAAGAAGATGTCTCATGCTAAATATCTTAGCTGTAGCTCTTTGGGTTTTTAAAAGAAGATCTTTTAAGTTTTTACTATATACATAAAGGGAAAAACAATGACCCCCTGGCGCGGGCCAATTTTGAACCTAGGGCTTTTATTTGAACAAACTTGGTAGACACCCACTAGAAGATGTTTCATGCTTCATATCTAAGCTCTAGCTATTTGGGTTTTTTAAAAGAAGATTTTTTAAATTTTCATTATATACATATAGGGAAAACAATGATCCCTGGGGCGGGGCCAATTTTGACCCTAGGGCTTTTATTTGAACAAACTTGGTAGACACCCACCAGAAGATGTTTCATGCCAAAAATCTAAGCTAAGCTATTTGAATTATTTTAAAAGAAGATTTTTAAAGTTTTTACTATATACCATGTATACAAAAAAGGAAAATCAATGACCCCCCGGGGGGCAATTTTGACCTAGGGGCCATTATTTGAACAAACTTGGTAGACTCTGACTAGATGATGTTTCTTGCCAAATATTTAAGCTCTAGCTCTTTCGATTTTTTTAAAGAAGATTTTTTAAGTTTTTTCTTTCGGTTGCCATGGCAACCAGAGTTCTGCATGGAATAAAATTCTTTGAACAATTTTTAAAGGTAACTACCAAAAGAACATTCCTGTGAAGTTTGGATGAAATTGGCTTAGCCATTTATGAGGAGATGTTGTTTAAAGTAAAAGTTTACGGATGGACGACGGACGGACAGTCTGATATTCCCCGCCACAGTACCCAGTATACAAAGGCAGTCTGAAAGATAGCTATATTCCCCACCACAGTACCCAGTATAAAAAGGCAGTCTGAAAGATAGCTATTTCCCTGCCACAGTACCCAGTATAAAAAGGCAGTCTGAAAGATAGCTATATTCCCCGCCACAGTACCCAGTATAAAAAGGCAGTCTGAAAGATAGCTATATTCCCCGCCACAGTACCCAGTATAAAAAGGCAGTCTGAAAGATAGCTATATTCCCCGCCACAGTACCCAGTATAAAAAGGCAGTTTGAAAGATAGCTATTTCCCTGCCACAGTACCCAGTATAAAAAGGCAGTCTGAAAGATAGCTATTTCCCTGCCACAGTACCCAGTATAAAATGGCAGTCTGAAAGATAGCTATATTCCCTGCCACAGTACCCAGTAAGGGACTGACCTGATTTTGGCAAAAACCCATGATCCCTAAGTTGGGAGGCAAATACCTTAAACACTTTGTCTAACACACTCCTATGTCTAAATTACCATGATGGTCCAACATGTGATAATTATTTTGTTTTTTATTAACTCTCAACATTAAGCAGTCCAATTACAATATCATGTCAGTTTTTAATATGTATCAACTATAATTTTGAAGAATGTCTCTACTTTTTAAATTGGGAATTGATAAAAAGTTTTTGTTTGTGATTACAAAATTTAAAAGAATAATCTGTATCATGAATCTCAATCATTTGTTACTCGACATACATGTATTTGAAAAGTAAAACATACTAACATTTGTTATGTATTATGCAGTTCTTCTTTCAGCTTTGTGTCTGCAAAGTTTTTTCCCTGCATCCGTTTCAATAATAACTTTAACATGGAAGGAGTTGGTCTGAATAAAAAAAAGACAATGTTTATTTAAATGGTAATTATTGGTGCAATCTCTTGTTTAAGATCTTAATGATCAAATTAACAATTATCAGCAATGATCATATTGCCTGCTGCACAGTAAATGGGCCAATTGCTAAAAAATACATGTATTATGCAGGCTTTTTCAATAAATATTGCATTTGCAATTATGTTTCTTGTGTTTTTACAAAGGACTTACTATAAAGCAAATGTGCCCAAAATTTTTTTATCATAGCATTACCAAAATATAGATACAGACATTTCTATAACCTAAACATGCCCAATTTTACATGTAATTGACTGTTAGCATCTGTTGACACTTCACAGTTTGGTGTTTCTAAAATTAACACCACTTTTATCTGCTTTATCCTATCACTTAAATCTTTTGACATGCACATAGAAAATTTAATAACTTTTCCAGTGATTAAAAATACTTGGTATATATCATCCCTGTTTTTATTGTTATTAAATAAGATGATTTTAGTAAAATCAGTCTTTTGTAATGCATCAGAATTTTCAAAATTCAGTTTTTAATTAAACAAGTATACATTTAAGAAATTACAAATAAAATAGTATTTTATTGTCTTAATCTTAAATGAAATATGAAATAAAAACATAATATTATGTAAAGTCAGTCTTCAGTTCAAATTTGTAAACATTTTTACCATAGTTTAAGGCATTATAGTGGTAAAAAATACTTTATGTTCGTCCCCCTCTCGTAAAATATCAAATTATAAAACACTACCCATAAAAAACAGTTTTTCTGGTGCTTATTGATAGTCTTACAATGATAATGTTACAAAAATTACCAATATCACTGTATATGAGAAAAAAAATACAATAATGTAAAAGTTGTCTGTAGCGGGATACGGACAAAAGCCCAACCCAATCATTCAACCGGAAAACCCATGCAATATGCGCAACAACTTGAGCTACAGATCAATCCTGTAAAGTGTCATTGAAATTGCATTAGTGGTATAATTAAGAGAAGTAGTCCGGACAAACTTTAAAAATAAAAATTATTAAAGGGCCATAACTCTGACAAAAATCATTGAACCGGAAAATGCTGACAATATGCACAACTAGACTTGGTACTGATCATTCCTGTAAAGTTTGGATGATATTGCACCAGTAGTTTATGAGGAGTAGTCCGGACAAGTTTTGTGACGGACGGACGGACGGACAGACAGACAGACGATGGAGAAGTGATCCCTATATTTTGTCGCCACTACTCCGTAGAGGCGACACAAAAATGACAAGGTGGACAAAAGCCCCCCCCCCCCCCCCATGAAATTTACACATAGGACAAAAGCCCCCCCATCAAAAATACAGGTAGGACAAAAGCCCCCACACACACACACATGGGACAAATGCCCCCATCAAAAATACAGGTAGGACAAAGCCCCCCCCCCCCTCAGTCCATGAAACAGTGTTATTGAGAATCTCATCAGTTTAATTCAGGAACTTGATGTATTGAGACAAGTCAAATGCAATTGTTTTAAAAGATAATTTACATTAAGATTTAAATTTAATGGTACAAAAGTTCTAATTTGATTTATTGTGTAATTGGTATATAATTCATTGATGATATGAATGTTTTTTTGTTTATTATAATATTATTATATTGTACAGTACAAAATTAATGTAAATGAATATTTTCAGAAAATCATTTATCAACCCTTATCAAGGGAATAAAAGTGGAAGGCGCTTGATTACTTGTCTAGATTTATTTGAAGTATAACCCAAGTTCCCTAACACTGGGCGTGTGAAAAAAGATCAGTCTGGTCTATAAACCTTAGGGGGGATTTTGTTTGCTGGACTGGGGGGTGGCTTTTGTCCTACCTGTATTTTTTAGGGGGGGGGGCTTTTGTCCTTTGTGTAAATTTCATGGGGGAGGCTTTTTTTTTAGAAAGGGGGGCTTTCGTCCGGGGGGGGGACTTTAGTCCTACACTCGTCTGAAGCATCCGTCCCTTAACATCCGTCCCCCTATATAAGGTGCTTATTAAATCCCACATTAACTGTAACTGAAAAGGGAATTTTACTCTATAACACCAAAGTTACAATGAAAAATGAAGAAATAACAGAACAAATGGAGTGAAATGATGTATTTATATAGAAATTATTATTAAAAATTTTGTGAACACCAGATTTCTTGATTTTGAAAAAAAAATCTATATTTTTTGCTCTGAAAACAAAATTATTTACTTTGAAATAAAATATATATCATTTTATATGTTATTTTTTGACATCAAGTGGACCTATAAGTTTATTAAGATAATATTTAAGCTTACATAAATCTATGACAAATATAATCTTTTTTGTTATTCTGCGTTTTCAAACTAAGGGTACAGAATGATTCTTTTTACGGTTATATTAAACTTATCTTGTTCGAATGATGCATGAAAGAGAAGTAGTATTAGCTTTAGAACGGGTATATGAATATTTCACACAACAAATAAATGCTATTAAAAAAACTAGAAGAAACAAACTGTCAAAACAGGATTGTTAAAATTGTAAAAACATAAATTCTTTACACAAATCATGTATCCCAGCCCCTCATAAAACAGCGGGATTATGGATCTCAACTATATACACACAGAAGGGACTGGCACTTATTGGCAGTTAACGAGCTGTATATTGGGAGCTGTATTGGGAAGTGCGATATATTACAAAACAGTAGGGGTGCCAATTATTTATTATGCTTAAAAACAGTGGGAGGGACTACCATATCTGTTAGAGAAGGCCTCCTGTCATTATGTAAGCTGTAGAGTTATTAATCCAAAGGATTTATTGAACATCAAAATTTTATAGGCTAAAAGTGGTAGTCAATGAAAAATAAACAAATAAAGAAATATAATTCTAATCCTTTTTAGATAAAAGATAATTAAACATAAACTTCAATGTAAAATCAAGTGAACACATTTAAGTCAATATTGACCATGAGGTCATGGTATTGACAATTGTTATTTAACTAGAACTGCCACTATGATGGCGTGAATACCCCCGCATACCACTTTGTCAAAATCAACAGTGGCCATTTAGAGCTCAAGGACATTATCTCCCTGCCAAATCTGAGGTTACTAAGCCAGTGCATTGCTAAGTTATGTATTCTACATGCTTCAAATGTGAAAATGTCAAAATCAATACATTGCGGACAGGACATTTACTTTAGCAAATGAGAAGAAAAGCTTTTTTTTTGTCAAGGTCCCTGTGACCTTGACCTTTGACCCAGTGACCTCAAAATCAATAGGGGTCACCTTATAGTCATGATCAACATCCATGCCAAATATGAAGACTGTGGGTCATAGGAATCTAAAGTTATTGGGCAGACAAACTTTTTGAAGTCAAAGTCCCTGTGACCTTGACCTTTGACCTGGTGACCTCAAAATCAAAAGGGGTCATCTACTAATCATGACTAACCTCCATGCCAAATATGAAGACTGTGGGTCAAAGAAATCTTAAGTTATTGGGCGGACAAGCTTTTTGAAGTCAAGACCCCTGTGACCTTGACCTTTGACCTGGTGACCTCATTTGAACTGCTAAATGCAGATCCATTTACAGTTATTCCAAAAATAATAATACAATATTTTTACTGAAATGACACAGATCGAGACATCAATTACTTATGAACAGCACGATAAGATGTTAGAGTGTACATCATTCTAATGGAAAGGTCTTATGTTATAGGACGATCAAAAAAGGGGGCCGAATTAGCTTAGTCAATTAAATTAAGGTGTATTGAGTTTATGAGAGTAGCCTAATTAATTTGTCATATGGTTGGACACATTTTACAAAGGAGCAATGTCTATATCAAAAATAAAAACTTGTCTTTAAACTGAGCTACAAATTAATGTATTTTTCAATTATATTCTAAACTTTATAAAAATTGGCCTAAACAGCCAAAAATGTGGGCCGAATCAGCTTAGGCCGGATCGACTATGGTCCGAATTAGCCCGTATTCCTTTTAAGCCTGTAATTATAATTGTGCTGAAATTGACATAAGGTAAGTCATATTTGGGAAGTATCCCATCTGAGTTGACATAATTCAGGTATTTTCACTTACTTCCAGAAAATACGACAACACCTTCGTAAGGAACCTCGCGCGAGCAATTTCTTCCATAATCATCGATGTACGACGTTGGGTAGTTGACAGTTACATTGTCATTATCTTCGGAGATTTCACCGATCCTATTCGCTGCAATATGCTCTAAAACTTTGTCATACATGAAGAAAACCACAAAATAAGAATCCTTGACACTGAAACAGTTGGTCGCCATTTTTCCAACATTTACCGCCTTAAAACTCGGGTTTCGATTGGTCGATTTAAGGTCTCCTCGATTTCATTTACAGTAGGAAAAGGGTGTTATTTTGTTTTGTTCCAAAGAAAAAAATCTGTAAGTATATTTATAGTTATTCATCAAATCTTACATTATATTTATAATATTATTCTCCTTAATACTTTTCTCTTCAATCTAGTTTAATTGTCCTTAAATATAAAAACCCTCCAACCATTTTGAAATGGAAGCCGCCAAGTAAATAGATGTTTAGTAGAATTTGTTGTTGACGAAAAACAGATTCACCTAATCAATTATATTATTGATGGAAACACGATTCAATTCTTTTTATATTTCTTAAAAACAGGAATGAAATATGAAAAAGATGACCTAGATATTAAATGTGCATAAGAAAAATTAAAAGATTTTATTTAGTAGCACAATTATTTTCGTTTAAAAAACAGCAGTCAGTAGCAGCAATAAAGAAAACAGCGTTTAGGGAAGACTAGTTAACTTTTTAATAGAATAGAATTATTCTTAAATGGAGCAGCCAACAAAAAAACGTAGACGTGGTCCGTATGGCAAAGACAAATTTGTTCATTACTCGGTAAGTATTTTAATCTAAACATGCATACTTTCAAAAGCAATATGTTTTCGCGACAAATAGAATTGAATAGCCAGTGACTGAGAGATTAGCCTAAACATGAGTTACGTAGGGCATGACATACCTGAATCATGATTAAGTTAATCGTACATGAGTTTTCAAGTACATGAAAACGTGAGTTTTCAAGTACTTGAAATATGAATTATCCTTAACATTTTAATATTGGTCTACGTTAATACTGTAATATATTATTCCAACCAACAAAAAGTATATAATTTTACCGATAAGGTAAAAAATATTTACACAAGATTGTAAACAAAGAATTCCGAAAGTACAGCTTGTTAACATTGAAAATTCGGAATAGTCAGATAACACTGGTAATAAGTAACAAGTCACAAACATATTAGATTGGAGTACATTTTTGGCCAAAATGAGCTATTTTAAGAACCATAACAAATCTAAATGAATATTGAAAGTACAATAAAAATCCATGTAGATCTAACTGTCATGCAGATAATTTTTAAGGGGAAAGACAGCAATGAAAGACTTGTTTCCCCTGTCAATTTTTTCCTGCGTGGAGGACTGCAATAAAATTCATAGTTCTCTTGCGTACAGTGAAGCAACACTATTTTGTCTTTCACAGCTAGGATACATATTTTCAAAAGAATCAAGTCCTCCTGTATGCTTTATTTTTGTCAGAGGACGCATTGTTCAACAGGTACATTGCCTAATCAACTAGATAAACACCTTTCTAACTGGCCATTTAATTCTTCAAACAACATGCAGATGTTTATCTCGGAAAATGAATTGACAAAACTTGATAATTAGTATGCTCGGCCTCCCGGCTAGTGCTTGATATATATATTCCAATCGCAATGCTCATATATACCTTTAACGAATGACAAAATGCTTTGTAACTAGGTGGATTAGCTTGACTGATGATTGTAAGGATGAACATTTCCTGAATTTTAAGATGATATTAATTAATGTAAACACCTTTTGTTCAGGAGTCTTTTCTTAAATTTGGTTTTAGAAAGCTTTGATGATTTTTTCTATTATTGTTAAGTGATTCATTTCAAAACTCAAAGCTTTCATTGGTGTCTTTTTGTTCATTAAAATTATGAAGGTTTAATTTCATTCATGATTCTCGGTCATAGATGCCGTTCTATGAGGGGGCAGTAAAACTGAAGTATGGCCAGTGAATGATGGGCAAGTACTGGCCCGAATATGGCTTGTGGATTTCAAAGCTAAAGTCGAATACTATTCATGAAATTGCAACCAATATCAACATCCGCCATAGAAAATAATTTGTTAAATATAGACTTGAATTTGTGGTAGCTTAAAGTCTGTATAAGTTATAAAACACCACTTAGTACCCTTGTGCATATTGTCCAGGTTTTGTGATAATTTTTTGGAAGGTTTATGGCCCTTTGGGTTATTTTCACATGATTTATGTAAGAATACTATAACCATGCAGTATATCATGTGTCCCAGATTTTGAAAAAAAAAATGCACTTACACTAGCTTAGTGTTGTAACGATGATAAATTTTAATCGAATAATCAATCGAAAAGGTGTTTCGATTAGATAATGGATAGTATTTATTTAGAATCGATTATAATCTAAAAATAAATGCAAACATATTTCATTTTCAATTTTACTTTTTTCATCAAAAAGAACAAGATATGATTTTTATGGTATTATAAACCCAAAAAAAAAATGACCCGAAAACATTTTTATAAAGGGTTCAAGGAACAAGGAAAAGGGCATTTGTAACTTTTATAAGAAATTATGTCCTGTGCATTAAAATGTGCATATTTCTTGTCTTCATAGACGTTCGATTAATAATCGATAATTAATCGATTAAGGCTTTCAGATTATATTCGATAATCGATTATGAAAACTGACCGATTTTCCATCACTACTTACACTAGGCTTTGAAAAAGAAAATCTGGTCTTGTGACAATTAATGTCAGTTTTTCTACCTCTTTATAATGTATATAATTGTTATAGAAAAAATAGCAATACATGTACTTGAATACTAAACACAAAAATGTGTTCTAAGTTTCCAGAATTGTTCATTTAAATGATGCTCATCAAAATGTTTCAAAAAGGGATTTGAAAAAAAAAGATTTTTTTTTATTTGCAGGTTGACTGTTCAGTTAAAGAACTAAAACCAGCTGAATCACTGGCAAACTGTAATGCCGAGACTTTAAAGGTTTTTCAGTCACCTGAAATAGAGGTTTTTGAGACTTCTTATGCGGCAGTTTTTGAGAACCATGTTACAGATGTTGAGTCAAGGGCGGAAGATAAGAGCACAACAACAGAAACAGATGAATGTAATTCCTCAGACATAGAGAATATTTATGACTGTAATTCCCCAAATATAGAAAATAAAGAAAACTGTGATTCACCAAATAAAGAAAATACAGATGACTGTGGTAATTCACAAAATTTGGATGACTGTAACTCAAAAAATTTAGAAAATATAAATGTCAATGATTCACAAAATGTTTACATGAACTCGATAAGAAATGATGATCTTGATAGAGATTTTGATGACCTCATTAAAGGTTTACATGAGGAAATAAGAGAGAGAAACTATGAAAATTACTGTCTTGCAGAAGAGGAACAGGCTGAAGTTATTGAAGAAATTACCGAGGTTATTGAAACTGCCCAGATATCAACATCTGAAAAGTACAAAGTCAGTAATGATGGGGAATGTGACTCGAGATCTGCATCAAAAGCGTTGTTTCAAGGATCACCGTATACTTTAGGTGTTACTATATTACTCATTTGCGCTTTTATAATAAGATTTCGTCTTCCTGAACAAGCCATTGATTATCTCCTAAAAATTGTTTCATGCATCCTACCACATGGTCACAGACTTATGAACACATTGTACAATTTTAGGAAGTTTTTGAAACAGTATACAGTAAACATGCGACCATCACTCTTCTATTACTGTAACTTCTGTTATTGTGAAGTCAATCGTCAATGTAAAAACATGTCCTGAGTGTTCAAAGTCCCTGACAGGAAGTGGTTCTATGTCATACTTTGTACAATTGAAAATTGAAGCCCAATTACAGTTATTATGGAAAAATTCTTCATTTGCAAATGCTGTCAGATCACACAGGTTTAAACACTATGAAAGCAAAAAAGGTGTAACAAGTATTAGTGACATATATGATGGTAAATTATACAAAAAGTTGTTCAACAATGAGAGCGGTATTCTTGGAGATGAAAATAACTTATCTTTTGCTTTAAATACTGATGGTGTTCCCCTTTTTAAATCATCAAACATAGGGATATGGCCAGTTTATCTTTTAATAAATGAGCTTCCAATAAGCATGCGTAAACAGAGGGACATGTCCATTTTCTATGGGGCTTGGATATCACCAAAAAAAACCACAGGTGTGGTCGTTTTTAAAACCATTATATGAGGAATTGAAAGTGTTGGAAACAGAAGGATGTGAGTGCACAGACAGCAATGGAAAAGTATTTACATCAAAGTGTGTTTTACTGACTTGTACATGTGACCTACCAGCACGAGCTCTGGTATACAACTGTATGCAGTTTAATGGTAGTTATAGTTGTTGGTATTGTACAGACAAAGGGGAAACATATAAATTTCCAACTGGTGGAACATGTCATGTATTTCCATATAATCATAAAAAACCTAAAAGCGAACCCAGAACTAGTGAAACTGTTAAATCAGATATTGCAAGTGTATGTGAGAACATTCGGAGCAACTCTAAAAATTACATAGTGAGAGGGCATAAAGGTCCATTTTGGTTCCTTTATCTGAAACATTTTGATGCTATAAATAGTTGTGTTATTGATTACATGCATGGTGTATGTCTTGGTGTTATGAAAACAATGCTGACGTTATGGTTTGACAAATCCAATAAAGATGAATATTTTTCTGTTTTTAAATCTAAAAATACTGTGAATAATATACTTCAAAATATCAAACCAACCATTTACGTTACAAGAGTGCCTAGAAGTTTGGACAATTTGTGTCACTGGAAATCATCAGAGTTCAGAAACTTTCTCCTTTACTGGGGTGTGCCTGTTTTAAGGCATATCCTTAATTCAGATTATTTTGTTCATTTCTGTCTCCTTGTTAGAGCAATTTACTTATTATCAAAAGAAAACATTAGTGATAATGATCTGAAGCATGCTGAAGGTGCATTATTGTTATTTGTTGAATGTTTTCAAAATCTGTATGGGCTTCGTTATTATACTTTAAATTTACACCAGCTTGTGCATTTGGCAGACTGCGTTACACAAACTGGTCCCTTATTTGTAAATAACTGTTTCATATTTGAAGATCTGAATGGCTATATTGTAAAGCATATATATGGAACGCAAGGCATTGATAATCAGTTGATCAATATTAGTGTTATGTTGAAAGTAATTCCAATTTTGAATGAAAAAAATTTAAAATACTTAGAAAATGATTTTGATATAAAACAGCTTTATGCTGAATTAAATGACAGTGTTGATGCCAGGCATACATTTCAGGATGAAATAGAGCCTGGAATAAGACCTATTGGAACTGTAAAGTTGGTAAAACTAAATGAGGAAGAGTATAGAATTGCATCAGTGTATGGTATTGATAATGAAAATGTAAGACAATTTTTAAGGTCAATATGTACAAACGAGGTTTCTATGTGTATGGGACTGATTATAAGAGATTGCAGAAACGACAACAGCATGTTGCCACTTTTTTAGACTCGGTTACATCTTCTGCAGAGTTTTGTTCTGTTAAATTCTTCATACAGTCAAACAACATAAGTCTTGCTTTTGTTGAGATATTTGACAAACTTGAATGTTTTGGTTGTGTTTGGAAAGTATCCTTTACAAAAAGAATGTGCTTCATTCGAGTCGATGCTATTATCAATGTAAATAATATAGTTACGGTCCAAGATGAATCGTATATATGTCCTCCTCCAAATAGATATGATAGAGACTAGATGAATTGAACAAACTCATTATGCACACAATAGGTCGTACTGAAAAACAGTCACTGTTTTTTTGTGGGAAATTAAAGGATATAAGATGCATTTGGAGCAAAATTTTTCAAAAAATGAAAGGAATTGATTTTCTGACAGAGAACTATGCCAATATGTAAAGTATTAGAGAAAAATATTTATCATTCATGATTTTGTAGTTTTACCGGTAATCAAGTTTTAGTTTTATTCTATATAAAACGTTAAAACAGGTCAAAGTAGATAATTGTGTTTCTTGAATAAACTGATGCAATTTTTTTTAGAAATTACTATGCATTGTAGGAGCATGGTCTATATCTATTTGCATATAAATTTATGTGTAGATATAATTTTAACTTTGTAACTTTATTGTTATGTCTCAAACAAATTTTGTCATAACCATACATTGATACAATTCTAATGATATTGTTTTTTCCATAGCTGTCCGTCTGTTGGTCCATCCGTCCTCATTTGGATTGTCAAACAACTGTTGGGATTTTGATCAATCTTCACTGGATTGATCAGTACCAAACCTAGTTGTGCATATCCCTAGCACTTTCTGTTTTGATGCACAAAATGGCCACCATAGCTAAAAATAGAAAAAGCTTTGTGCAGCTTCACAGATCAAACTGCTAGTAAGATTTACACCAAACCCTGGTTATGCATATCTCTGTCACATTCCCTTTTGCTGCACAAAATGGCTTCCAGAGCTAAAAATAGAAAAACCTTGTTTGACTCGTATGTCTAGCTGCTGGTGGGATTTTGACAACAATTCGCAGGAGTGATCAGTTCCAACCCTTTGGTCTTTCTGCACGCAAGCATACTCTTCAAGTACAATGTAGACCTAAGCTTGTTATCAAGTTAGGATATTGCTGAATTAAGAAACAAACTTACAATTAATGATTATTATTAGACCACTTTGTTTAAGTAAATGTCTAAATATAATTAGAAATGACAGTGGATTAGTCTGATAACATGGTATGATATTAGTTATGTGATGTACCTTACATCTTCTTACGTAATTTTGTTGTGATTAATGCTTCCGAGGGATCACTTTGTTTCCAGAATTTTATACTTCACAACAGCAGGTGTCAAGTGCTGTGTGGCAGCTGTAAAAAGTTGCCCCGTACTTCATTTCAGTGTTGTTATATTTTCTGGTCCTTCGGGATCATTGATACCAGCACTATTAAGTGTTGAGAATTGAGTACCGCTCAAACCGGTGCTAGGGGGCGTGAGGGATGTTGCACTTATTCATTGTCCCTCATGTACAGACTCAATCAAACCGAGTCTGCAATTCTTACGTAATTTTGTTGTGATTAATGCTTCCGAGGGATCACTTTGTTTCCAGAATTTTTTATATGTACATGTACTTTTGATGTACTTTTGATAGTTATAATATGCTTATTATATATACAAGTTGTACACATACAATATTGCTATGATGCACTACAAAGTATTAAGTGAATATTAGTGTGCATGAATTATATTTTCCTAAAAGCATTTAAATAAAACTTGTAAAAACTGCAGCTTCTGTCACAATCTTTTAGCTTAAAAAAATGGTTCAAGAAAATAACTTGTAAAAAATGGTAATGTAAGTATTGTTTAACATCACCATTTATTTTTAAATGTTGAAAAACTGGTAAAAAATGCTGGACACAAGTTTTTTAACAACAAGTTTTTACCAGTTTTTTAAGAACTGCTGTTTAATTGGAATCCTACAAATTAAGATGAAGGGCAAAAAATTGTAAAAAAGGCATTTATTTGAAAAAACTGCTAAATAACTGCAATATAACTACAAGTTAAATGCCTTTCCTTTTCCTAAGGGACTTCACTTCAGTGTTGTTATATTTTCTGGTCCTTCGGGATCATTGATGCCAACACTATAAAATGTTGAGAATTGAGTATCGCTCAAGCCGGTGCTAGGGGGGCGTGAGGGATGTTGCACTTATTCATTATCCCTCATGTACAGACTCAATCAAACCGAGTCTGCAATTCTTATGTTATTTTGTTGTGATTAATGCTTCCGAGAGATCACTTTGTTACCAGAATTTCCACTACAGATAAAAATATTATGAAAATATTGGCAGAATTGGTAAGATATTATGCGTATATAAAACATAACGAGTTAGTGTATTTTTTACTTTTAAAGTTGGAGCGATACTTTAAAGTAATCAAACGCAAATCGCCAATCTATAAAATAATGATGCATTTAATAATTTACGAAACATATACAGCTATTTGACACAAGAAACAATTGAAGTTAAAATGATTTTGAAATAATTACCAACCTTAAAGACCAATTATGCCCCAGAAATTCTTTCATTTTTTATTTCCCAAAATCTATTTATTTTTGGTACTCCATTATTGTTTTAACAAGTTACTCATTGGCTAGTTATCTGAACTGTCTCCTTTTTCTGTTGCTTTTGGGAATAAGTTTATTTATAGCAATTTAGTATTTTGCATGAAAAATACTATTTTGTTTATATGTTGATACTTTTATTACATATTATTTTGTTTATATTTTGTTACTTTTATTACATATTATTTTTAACTTAGCGCTTTTTTCTTCAGGTAACTAACATAACAAATGCTCTTGAACCATTATTTAAATGGAATTAAATTCATGTTTGACCTTTCTAAAGAAATCAATATTTAATCATGGCTGAGGCATTATGTGCCTTTAATGTAAAGCATTTCTTCGACATAACAAACACGGACTTGTTTTATATATTTCAATGATATGACGTTTTTCTTTTTTGTATTGGTACACACAAAGGCAAAACATAAACATCGTTCAGACTTTCGGTGTCAAGAAAGGCATTACTGTAACATATAAATTTATAAATAGGGCGCTTTTGTAGGAAAAAACTATTTTGATCTCCTTCTTGATTCTCAAGATGCCGTTGACCTTACTCTTCTTAAATTCAGTCCACTTGGTGTTATTTTTGGTTTGTTGCTGTGTCAAAAAACTAAATTATGTATATGTTTTACGCCTCAGATTTTTCTGTTATCTAACGCAGATTATGGAGTATGCATAGCATTATCTTGAGGATGATCCTTACAATTAAAATATTTCTTTTATCTCGAATAAAGTGCTCTATTTGTACTGAGAACGATTTTGTTTTTTGAAAACATTGTTGAACGCTTACAGGTAAATTGTTTTAGCGAAATTTAATTAAATTAATTCAATAATGACACTACCCCTTATATCCTTATTCTACATTTTAGAGTACTTATCATAACAGTTAATATTTAAATAGTCAAACGAGGGCAGGCACGACAAAATCGAAAATGTAAGGGACTCGGGTTTTTTGAGTCTGTAAATTTCAAAATACATTATGTTGTGTGTGGGATTTTTGTGTGTGTTTTTTTTTGTTGTTGTTCTTGTAGCTGTTGTATTTTGTTTTGTTTGTTTATTTATTTTTTTATGTGGGGTGTTGTTTTTAGCCTTCTCTCATTTTTATGTTGATATCTCAATATCCTTGAAGGACCCACAGTGATTTGGCAACGGTTGCACTAAAATATATCACAATACCAAAGTAGTAGACTATACCAAAGTTTAAAAACAACACTACAGGGGCTGTCCCACAAAGTCGTTGGGAAATGCTGTAAAGTAAAATATGTAACGCCCGAGCCTTATATCTCTTTTTACAAACGTAACAAAAAATCTTTTCAACAGAGTAAATGGCCAATAACGTACGAAATCTGTTTTATGATATAACATGTCCAATACGGCTTACGCTATATTGCACAGTTTCAAGGACGTCACAAGACATATATGTTTACAGTCCATCTTTTAAGTCATACAGTGCACGTATAAGCACAATAAAGATGGAGACGTTTGACGCTCACGCGACCTTTTGGTTATCAGTGTCTGGTTTTTGTTCTTAATGATACCTACGGTATTGATGCAAATGTCACAAACTGCGAAAAAGTACAAAAATGATGACGAAAGAAAAATGTAACAGTTGACAAAAAATGGAATGCCTATTCGTTGTCAAGCGTTAAAAACAGAGGAGAACATTGAAAACACTGTAAATGAAGACAGTCAGCAAATATTTTCTCGATTTTAGACTGTGCTGAGAATTTCTGAAGACAATATGTAATTTTTATAACTATTGGTGAAGAAACCGTCTGTTTGTGCAAAAGTGTAAAATAAATCAACAACAAAAAATATGTACAACAGCAAACAAACATTCATTAACAATTTCTGACAAGGAAGCTCATTGTTATCGCTGTTCTCGTATTCATTCGTAACTCATTCCCCAATGGGATTATGACCGATCAGAGAAGTCGTAATTAAAGCTCATTTCTTATTCATTGTAAAAGTGCTGATTGATTGAGGACAGTAAGTAAAACTGTCATTCATTTGTAATGAAAGTGACAATGTTTGTCATCATGAAAGCACTTGTGCCATAAATCGATATATACATGAATAAAATGAGACTTGGGAAATATAATTGCTTGCAATTTTGTTAGTTGTTGATATTTTGCTAGTAATAATTTTATACCGTAGGTCTGACAAATATTCAAATACTTGTTTAAATTTAATTAGTACTTCACTTCATAGAAAGACATATTGAAAAACAAATATTCGAAACAGTTTTAAATCTAGACTGCTGTAAAAGGGTTAAACAT